GGGGGAGAACAAAGATAAACCCAATGGTTTGAGCAAGACGTGACATTATAATTCAGAGGCAGTCTTGAATCAACGACTTGTGCCCATGGGTAGGTAGATGATGTCCATCAGCTATGTAGGACAACTTGTCCCCTTAACAATTTCATTTTGAATAATAATATAATGAAGCTTGCCGAGTCAGCATGTTTTTCCTTTGCTAACGAACACATTTATGTAATCCTGATCTTGACTGACGCCACTACAGAAGTTAACTTATCTAATTTTAGTTGTTTTGGTTTTTATCTTTTAATTGAAACTTTTTTTTACTGTTATAATGCCAGGAAAGGGTTTGTTGACCCAAAGTTTGAATTGATTTTGATGGGAGATATACTACTTTTCCATGTAGTGGTCGATATTTTTTACACCTGGACGGGTGGAGGGTGTTCGGGAACAGTCTGCCATAACATTCCAGTGTGGCTATAGTCCTCACCCATTTTTGGTGAAATGTAGCTCCTTTTTTTTTTGTAAGTGTTTTATGGGGCTCGCAACTGCATAAGGTCATACGAGCTCATGGGACACGCCAAACATTTTCAATCATTAGGAAATTTGAATTTTGCCCGGGTGGCGGCCAAAGCCTACTCTTATCGATTTTGGACCACCTAGAGATCTTAAGCGTGCGGAACTTGCACACGGGACCTCCGAGATTTTTCGCCCTTGTCCGAAAAGGCTAGGTGTAGATCTTTCCTACCAAAAGATCAGGGGTGTGGCTGAAAGACAGCAGTAAGAAGGAACCAAGGAGTAGCAGTAGAAAGGCTGCAGAAAGAGTCAGGAGCCCAGTGGAGGGGGCAAAGGAGGTGAGTGGGCGGAGGAAGAAAGTGGAGACTAAAGCAGACGACAGAATATTGCAAGAGAGAAGGAAAGAAGGTGAAAGGAGACAATTTTAGAGAAGAACATTTTTCTGTCGCCACCCGGATTTGAACCCGGGACCTTTGAATGAGAGGCGAACACCTTAACCTCTAGGCCACGAGAGCCCCCAAATGTAGCCTCTGGGTGTTGTAACTGGCTCAGAACTACTTCATTGATGGCACTTGGTGCGGGTAGTTTGTGAGCGCCACTACAGGTTTTATTTCTTTTTTTACCTGCTGTTTGTATCTGTGGTTTTTGCTCCTCCCACTACTAAATGGTCGCTTTTAAGCACAAGGGGGCTATCCCGAAAAATACCGTTTTGAGAAAATCGAGTGTAAAGTTTTTGCCTCTTTTTCAGCTTCTTTAAAAGACAAGGAGAGTTTTCTCTATAACCAAAAATATATACGCATCAATGAAACCAAACTTCTCCTATAGGTAGGGCAAGTCAAGATTTCTAGAAACCCCCCGAAATCTGTTGAGCCTCGCTTGTCCTTAAAATAGCGACCAAATGAACGTTTGCTTCCCTTGATTCAAATCAAACGAAATTTAGTCGAGTTCTGTTATTTTAGTGGCCACCTTGAGTAGGGCAGGGATGGAAGTCTTTGAAAGAGCTACTAATGAGTTCAAAATTGCCCCAGTGTAAAATTGAACTTTGGCCCCCCTTCAGAAGTGACCAAGTATGCATCTCATTCCGTCTCCTCTTGTCTCATCACATCTCATTACCTTTTTTTTTTTACATCTCATCATTTATCAATGACCTCTTATATTATCTCGTTACTTCTTTTCTTTTATCAATATACCTCTTGTTATCTAACTACACTTCATATTATCTCATTACATCTTACCTCGTGGGTGGTTGGCGGGTGCTTTGGTGTGGTTTGCTTCTTCTTTCCTATCAAACGTCTATCGTCCTTATCTCCCCTCCTTCTTTTTATGTTTGTTACTCTCTTGTAACAAATCTAATCTTCTGGCGCTCTTATGACCTTATGCAGTTGCGAGCGCCGTAAAACATCTACTAAAACAAAACATCTTACCTTTCAGTGTTCTTATATGGTTGGAGGTTAGTTGACTCTTACATGTGGTCTGCTTCTTCTACTTCTATTCAGTATTATCACTACTTGTAAGACTAATTGGCTACTTGGCCCGATATTTCACCTCCACAACATTCTCTCTATTTCAGTTTCGTGGAGGAATATGATCCCACAATTGGTGAGTACCAGGCATCCTCTTAGATGATTTTTGTTTAGAGTACGACTTCCAAAAAGATAGATAAAACTAAAACAATAGTGGTAATGTAAATTGTAAGCGAAAATCTCGTTTAGTTTTTAAGCAATAGAATAATTTTAGTATTGTCTGCGTGTTGTGTCATCTCTTTTCTTTGATTAGTTTAAGGATGGGAGATTTCTCTGTTCTTTCAACTGACATCTGTCATGTAATTGTCAGACTCTTTGCCATTTTTATGCAAAAGACTTACAACATATATATTTCTGCGTGTGTGTGTGTGTGTGTGTGTGTGTGTGTGTGTGTGTGTGTGTGTGTGTGTGTGTGTGTGTGTGTGTGAGAGAGGCAGCGTGGTGAAATCAGGCGCTCGTCAAAATAATGAAAGTGAAGAGATTGGCCTTTTTCAGCAGGTTTTAGGAATTTTTATCGAATTTTTGTTTTTTTGTCTCAACACCTTTCATGCCCATTACAGAACTCATTTCTGTGTGGATTTTACTGAAGAACATTGATTAAAGGCATAAAAGATGTAAATTTTCAGTTTCCACGGGTTCTCAAGCTAAGGAAATAAATATATTTAATTCTGTCTCACAGAATGTGTTTTACAGTGTTTCTATCTTTTGGCTTTTCATCTTTTCATTTCACCTTTGCATCCTATGTATCTCAAGTTGGCCCCTGACAGGCTATGTGAAAGCAGCTCATATTTTGTATGATTTTAACTGTGTTGATGACAAGGGCATGTGGTTACTTGAAGGAGGTATTGCGCTGCCAAGAGAGAAATGCTTGCAGCTAAAGGGATTTGAAAACAACAAACAACAACTGTGTTGATGAAGTTGCGAATTAAAAACATTCACAATCCTGTACAATCATTTTCTGTTTCAGAGGACTCCTACAGGAAGCAGGTGGTCATTGATGGTGAGACCTGCCTCCTGGATATCCTGGACACAGCAGGTCAAGAAGAGTACAGGTGACTGTCTGTCTATAGAGTCTGCTCTTTTCAAAGGACAATGATTGTGTGTGTGTGTGTGTGTGTGAAATTACATGATATTATGAAAAGAAGTAGAGTGGGTGGTTGGCAGGTGCTCTGGTGTGGTTTGCTTCTTCTTTCCTATCAAACGTCTATCGTCCTTGTCTCCCCTCCTTCTTTTTTATGTTTGTTACTCTCTTGTAACACCTCCAATCTTCTGGCGCTCATTTGACCATATGCAGTTGCGAACGGCAAAAAACCTCTACGAAAACAAACAAAAAGAAGTAGAAATAGCATGGCAGACCACACTAGACCACCTACCATTTTACCAACCATGACACAAGCCAGCGATATACACTTAACGGTCCAAGGATGTCGTGAAAAGAAGCAGAAAGAGCAGATCATGCCAGAGCACATTGCAACATTGTAAAGATATTTAAGGGGTGGGACCTCTGTATGTAATGCACATCTCTGATAGGACGGAGCCAAATGGGAATATCTGTGTAAAGTCCCTTTCCCCAAGGACACAATGTGGGACCGTAATTGCAACTCGAACCCTCGAACCCACAATCTCATGATTACAGGGCTGTTGGCCAAGCTACCAGACTAACGACTTAGATAATGATACTAATCAAAATGATAGCAGTGATAAAAGTAATTTATAATAATAATGATGATGAATCACATAAATACTGTCATTTCCATGCTCTGAATACTCGATGCACTCAACAACAAAAATTGCATGAATAAACACTTTTGAGCGTTCTTGTAGGCTCTTATGCTGGTCTAGAGACAGTGATGTTCCATCTCCATCCTATCTTGTCATATCGTAGCTCTTTGCATCTTGTCTCGTCCTTCTCTTCTTGTCTCATCTTAGCGTTTGTCAGGGGTGGTTGGTAGGTGCTCTAGCGTGATCCGCTCTTTCTAGTTCTTTTCATGACATCCCTGAAGAGTTGAGTGTGTGTATCCTTGGTTTGTGTGATGGTTAGTGGGCTTTCTAATGTGGTTTGCCATTTCTACTTCTTTTCATTTTATGTGAGTTCAGCAATATCCATTTATGTACAGATTGGTAGATAGCACTACTTGGTTGGCGGGTGCTCTGGTGTGGTTTGCTCCTTCATTCCTATCAAACATCTATTGTCCTGATCTCTCCTCCTTCTGTTTTATGTTTGTTACTCTCTTATAACACCTCTAATCTTCGTCACGTATATGACCTTATTGTGTTGCAAATGCCATAAAACTCTTACTAAAACAAAGCACTTCTTCTTTTCTCTCTCTCTGTTGGTTTTGAGGGCAGCACTGGCAGGTCTTGCTTATTTTCTCTCCCTCTTTTGTTTCTGGTTGTCAGTGTAGTTTTTTCCCTTGCATAAAGTGGCCTTTATTGTATCAATGTACTTTACTTTTCTCAAACAGTGTGTGGTTGGCAGGTGCTCTGGTGAGGTTTGCTCCTTCTTTCCTATTAAACATCTATTGTCCTTATCTCCCCTTCTTCTTTTTTATGTTTGTTACTCACTTGTAACACCTCTAAACTTCAGCAGTGTGTGGCCCTTATTGTGTCAAGTACTTTTCTTTTCTCAAACAGTGTGTGGTGGGCAGGTGCTCTTTCCTAATAAACATCTATTGTCCCTACCTCTCCTTTTTTGTGTGTATGTTCCTCTCATGTAACACCTCTATACTTCAGCAGGTAGGTGACCTGATTGTGTTACTAATGCTGTAAAAAACTGTTAGTAAAACAATGACTTTAATGAAAGAACATTTCCCTCCTCAGTGCAATGCGAGACCAGTACATGCGCACCGGCGAGGGCTTCCTCTGTGTTTTTGCTGTGAACAACTCCAAGTCTTTCGAGGACATCAATCAGTACAGAGAGCAGGTAAGTGGCTTCCCGGGTGTGGAGAGGATATAATTAACTTGTGCACTCTCCTACTGGCTGGTTGGATGATACTTGTTAGCCACAACTTTTCTGGTGTGTGTGTGAGGTGTTAGAGTAATGAGTTTCTTTCTTTATACCTGTGTTCCCTGTGTATTTTCTGCCCAGCTTTGTTTCTGTGTCAGGCTGTGGTGGAAGGGTCTGATCTTAATACAGTCGGACCTGCTCTAGCGGCCACCTGTCCTAGACAGTCTGTACAAACGACCACTTTTCACATCCGTCTTATACTCATATAACCTTATGCAGTTGCGAGCGCCATAAAACTTCTATTAAAACAAAACGTCCCCTTTGCAGGGTTTTTTGGGGTTTAAAAAAATATTTTGATATTGTACGAGATGTCCAACCATCTATCTTCTTCTTCTTCTCGATCGCATCACACTTGAAGTCTGGTATCCGTCATAAATTGGGCCGTCCTGCTCTCTTCTTCTGTCAGCTCGTATAGCTTCTCTTGTAGTGTCAGTGGGGTTGGCAACGTTTTCTGTCTCAGGACCCTGTGTGTCTTGCAGTGCTGAAGGATGTGTTCAACAATTCGGTCCGCCTCTCCTCACTGACATTTTGGTGAATGTGCTAGTTTAAAACATCTGTACATATGTTGTCTCAGTCTTGTGTGTTGGATTCTTAGTCGGAAGATAATCGCTTGTTCTTGGCGGGGCAGCTCATGATAGCTATCTGGTGTCTGTGGTGCTTTAAATCTATGTCTATGACAATCGCTTCTTTCCTCCACAATAGGTCGCCTTCTTGGAACATTTCGACCGGACAATAGATAAATGGGATTCCACAATTTAGAAGGGAAATAAACTGTTTGTGGGGGCTCTCGTGGCCTAGAGGTTAAGGTGTTGGCCTCTCATTCAAAGGTCCCGGGTTCGAATCCGGGTAGCGACCGAAAAATTTTCTTCTCTAAAATTGTCTCCTTTCACCTCCTTTCCTGCTCTTTAGCAATGTTCTGTTGTCTGCTTTCATTTCCACTTTCTGCCCCCGCCCCCTCACCTCCTTTGCCCCCTCCTCTGGGCTCCTGACTCTTTCTGCAGCCTTTCTACTGCTACTCCTTAGCTCCTCCTTACTGCTGTCTTTCTGCCACACCCCTGATCTTCTGGTAGGAAAGATCTACACCTAGCCTTCTCGGACAAGGGCGAAACATCTCAGAGGGCCGCGTGCAAGTTGCGCACGTTAAAGATCCCTTGGTGGTCTAAAATCGATAAGAGTAGGCTTCAGCCGCCACCCGGGCAAAATTCAAAATTTCCTATCAACTGAAAATATTAGGTGTGTCCCGCGCGCTCATATGACCTTATGTAGTTGCGAGCGCTGTAAAACACTTTACAAAAAAAACCCAAAACAAACTGTTTGTGTCTTGGGCATGTGAGTTTAATAGCTTATGCGTGAACAACAGAAGGAAACTAAACAAGTAAGTGTCACCCACACACATGCATGGATAAGGCTTGGGTGGTTTAGGGAAGAGTTTTGTATTATTGGCTTATGGATAATAGACAGACTTGCTGCCCATCAGCAAGAGAGTGATCTTTTCGCCAGAAGGAGGGATGAAGGAACTCTTCCACAACTTCTTTAAAAAACCCTTGTATTCCACAGAAGAAAAATGGGTGGTTGGCTGGTGCTGTGGTGTGGTTTGCTTCTTCTTTCCTATCAAACATCCATCGCCCTTATCTCCCCTTCTTCTTTCTTATGTTTGTTACTCTCTTGTGACACCTTTAATCTTCTGGCGCTCATATGACCTTATGCAGTTGCGAGCGCTGTAAAACTTCTACTAGAACATAACAAGAAAAAAAAATCCCCATCTCCCCAAAAATCCCCCCCCCCCCCCCCCCCCCCAACCCCTGAACCTTTTTTTAAATATGTGTCTCAGCATTTATATAGATGAAATATATTTGATTGTGTCATCCCACAGATAAAACGAGTGAAAGATGCTGATGAGGTGCCCATGGTCTGTAAGTATTGCTGGCTATTTGCAGCCTGTGGTTTCTGCTTTGTTTTGTCTTTCTAGAGTATGGAAAATACTGTGTGTGTACATGCGTGTGTGTGTGTGTGTTGTGTGCGTGCAACCGGGCGAGTTCAGGTGAACAGTGAATGAATTGTCAAGTTTTTTTTTTTTTCTGTAGCAGAATATTTGCCTGGCCATAAAACTAAAACAAATGATAATTGTTGTAAAGAATGCAGAATGCATTGTTCCCGGGTATGTTACAATGGGAAAGTAATTGGATCAGTAACACGATTGAGCAAGATGAATTTTAATTACTTTGTATATATAGAAAAGAAGAAGAAAAAAAAAATGCTGTATTTGTTCAAGTATGGAAATTTAATTCACCTTTCAATTGCAAGTCAAAATAAATAGTGCTTTATCTATGTCTTTCTGGTGACTGGTAAGACGTTAACTATAATGAATCGCAGTATGTGTCTCTTTGTGCGGGAATGCAATGAATAAATGTGTGTTTTGATGCTGAATCTTTCTCTATTTTTGTTGTGGTATATACACCTAATACTTCCTTAGTGGATCTATAAAATTAATCTTAGTGGGTGGTTGGCTGGTGCTCTGGTGTGGTTTGCTTCTTCTTTCCTATCAAACATGTATCGTCTTTATCTCCCCTCCTTCTTTTTTGTGTTTGTTACTCCCTTGTAACACCTCTAATCTTCGGCACTTATATGACCTTATGCAGTTGTGAGCGCCGTAAAACCTCTACTAAAACAAACAAACTCTCTTGTAACACCTTTAATCTTTGGCACTTAGATGACCTTATTGTGTTGCAAGTGCTGTAAAACTCTTACTAATACTATCACTAAAATTAATCTTATAATAATTCCCCCCCCCCCCCCAGTGGTGGGCAACAAAGTGGACCTGCCAACGCGCACGGTGGAGCAGAGACAAGGCAAGCACGTGGCCGAGCTGTACCATATACCCTACGTGGAGACCTCAGCTAAGACGAGACAGGGCGTTGACGATGCCTTCTACACTCTGGTCAGGGAAATTAGGAAATATGTAAGTGATTTTTTAAAAAATGTTTTAAATAGAAGCTATTTTTGTTTCCTGTCCTCTCCTGATCCGCAATCTTCTACTCCCTCTATGTCTGCAACCGAGGCAGAGCTGTAGCGTGCGTATTGCTTTCAGATCGTCTTTTCTAGACGCAGAAGGCTATACCGTACCCTCCCAGGTCCCTCTTCTGGCATCTGTGATGTAGCGATGGGGCTCCTCGTCTTTGCACACATAAGATAAGATAAGATCAGACAAGATAAGATAATACTTTACTATCCCAGAGGGAAATTTTTCTTGGCTGTACAGGACCGTAAAAACACATGCAGGTATACATGAACAATTTAAATTATATATTACTCTCATTAAAGTTCAATATGAAAAGAGAAGTAAAGCTGACAAAATGTACATATCACATCAGATGCATCTTTCAACCACATGCAGGAATTTAATTGCAAGACCTTTGGATAAGACGCAAGTTGGACTCATGGGTGGGAAGTTTATTCTCTCTCTCTCTCTCTCTCTCTCTCTCTCTCTCTTTCACTCTCTCTGTCTCTCTCCTCTCTCTCTCTCTCTTTCTCTCTGGTCGTAGTCCTGTTCTTTCTCTTCCAGTGTAACTGTTATTTTAGTCTGCTACTGACTAAATATGGCTCTTATCATGCCATAAACTATGAATGCAGACTTGCCACCTGTCCCAAATTTCTAGGGACTGTCCTGGCTTCAGCAATCAGGAACTACACATACACAATACCGAAACCAGTCCCACTTGGTGTAATTTTATTTGTCGTTACATACTCGAGTGTTAGAACTGTGGGTGTCCCTGATTGGGTTTTGAAAAAAAAAAATTTGGCAAGCCTGTAAATTGGTAGCAACCTTAGAAGTAGTAAAGTGTAACACTTAGGCATTGGGCACATTGATGATAACTGTCAGCTGTTTGCTTTTCCCACAGCTTTTCCCACAGTTGTATGTGTCCAAGTTTATTTTGACTACAGCCTGAACACTGTTATGTGTTTTAAAAATAAATTGCTTTTTATCTATTTTGCTTGCAGAAAGAGAAAAAAGGCAAGGATCGCAAGAAAAGGAAGATCGGCACCAAGGGAGGCCGTTTGTCCTGCTTGCTGTTGTAACGGGCCGAGGCGGCCCCGGGGCCATGCAAGTGCGAGAGGGCCAGGAAGGACAGCGTCGCCAATGTGATCATGTTCGCGGCCACCATCGCCATTGTCATCGTCATTATTGTCGCAGTCGCATCCCGGAACCTGTTTCTGTCCTGTGTGAGCCGTCTGTGTGTGGGTCCCTGCTTGGGCAGGCTGTGCCAGCGAGAATGTTTGTGTTAGCTCGCTCCATAGTGTCGCAGCTGTTGAGGGCATCGTTTAGAGGAGAGAGTGAGAAGGAGTGTTCTTACTTACCCTCTTTTCCCAGTCCTCCTAACCATTTTCTTTTCCTGGGTGGTTGGCGGGTGCTCTGGTGTGGTTTGTTGTTTCTTTCCTATCAAACGTCTATTGACCTGATCTCTCCTACTTCTTTCCTGTGTTTGTTACTCTCTTGTAACACCTAATCTTCGGCACTTATATGACCTTATTGTGTTGCAAGTGCTGTAAAACTCTTACTAAAAAAAAACAACCCAACTCTTTTTCCTCCTCCCCTCCCCTTCTTCCCTTCACTCTCCTCCCCCCCCCCCCCCCCCCCCCCCCCCCCCCCCCCCCCCCCTCTTTCCTCTATCCTCTTCTTCTGTACCTGTAATTTTCCCTTTCCTCTCTCTCCTCTGCTGTTTACATCTCCATTGGTATCGTCTCGTTCACGGGGATTAGACTTCAGAGCTAAGGGCTAACGTGACGTTGCTCCAAACTATGATGATGATGATGATAACGACAACGACGATAATGATGATAATGAAGTGTTCTTGGCCGCCCCTCGTAATTGAAATGTTTTTAAAGTAGAGTTTTTAATCGCTGTTTTTACCCCCGCAAATACCCAGGGGTGATGGTTTATCCCTTCGGCCGACTGCTTCATCATGGGTAGGCTCGAACCCGAAACCACATGGGCTAGGTTGGTAAGGGAAATGGTGTTCGGTAAATTCTTTGGATAGTGTTGTACTTTGTTTGGTCTGGTGATGTACCCGGAGCAGGGTTCGTGGTCTTGTTTTTATCAGGCATGGTTTGTATCATAGCTGGGTGTATATGATTTCACTGCTGTCAAAAAGTTAGCAAGGTTCCCGAGATCATTGCTGTCCGAATGTAGCATGATTTTTCTGGGGTGATTTTTTAATATTTTTTTTTAAATCACACGTGTCAAAATGTAGCACAAGATTCCTGGTAGTTTTGTCTTCAGATTGTAGCAAGGTTAGTGCTTGCTGTGGCTATTTGTCAGAATGTAGCAAGGTTTGCAATAGTATTATTATTATTGTTAATATTATTATTATTATTGAACTCTAGCAAGATTCTAGATGATAGCGTTGTTTTCGGAATGTCTCAGTCTTCACAATTCCCTCTGAAACCCTTGACTCTCTACGAGAGGACACAGTGTTCAGATCTTGGCTCCGGGGTTGGTACAGAAGGCACCTCCATGTCACTGGCCAGTGTTTTGAGTTTGGATTTCTCTTTCTCTTAGCTTACATCTCCGAGGGGTCTCGGCCAGACAGCGATGCCGGAAATAGACACTCGGAGATTCTGTTTAGAGACGGCTATTGCAGTCAGTCAGGTTTTGTTTTGGTTTTGTTGTTTTGGGTTGGGGTTGTTTTTTTTGTGTGTTTTTTTTGTCGATGTTATGCTATATAAGGGTTTGTTAGGTTGCTCTGATCCTGGAAGACCTCAGTAGTGTCTAAATTGTTCATTGAACGCCTCTCCATGAAAAGTTGTTATGGGGAAGGGGGGGATGTTAGCATGTCTCGTGAAGGTCATGGCTTTTCATAAGTGATACACACGCCTGACGGGTGCAACGCCTCAAAATGAGAATGAGGAAAGTTTTGGGCGCAGGGAAAAAGAAACTACTGATTTAATGAATATTTTGAGTAATAGAATAATTCTTCATGCGCTAAAAAGAACTTGAGGTTCGGAGGAAAGTCTTCCCAATTTGTTAAAGAAATTATGCTTTTTATTTGAAGTTGTGAATGTTCAGTTCACCTATTTCAGGTATTTGTGAAGAGAAAGTCCTAATCTCAATGCGTTTTCTCCCACCTGACACTTTTTCTATCACCAGGGGGGCCCACTCTACCCAACATGTGGTAGCATCGTTCTTTTTGTATTCCCTATATATATTTGACGTATCTGGCGCTTTCTTTAACCACTCTTAATGGGGGTGGGTTTTTTTGGTGACTCCCAGGTTGTTGATGATGTCTTACTCGAACGGTGTTGCTGGTAGAAAAATATAAGCTCTTTAATTGTTCTAAAACTATTCCCGAGTTCAATCTGGGAGTCCTCGTTAAAAGTCTGGAGTTGGCGTGCACTATAAATAGTATAAAAATATTGGTGACCAACTTTTGTGTCTTCTCTCACCATCTAAAATATTGAGTCAGAAGAGGGGGTTTTGGGGAGGGGGTTGAAAAATTTTCACTAAGCTAGTTGCACGGTCAGAGCGTAACACGATCATTATAATTCTTTTCTTAGCTTTACAGATGTTTTGTCTCATTTTGAGGTGGTGTGAGGCGCCCCCCGGCCCTCCTGTCTCTGTCGTTCTGGAGAAGTTGGTTGTCAGCCAAAGTGGCTGGGGGGGGGGGGGGGGGCAGTATCAGTGCTGGGGGTCACACAGAGCTGAGCGGGTAGGAGAGAGAGATGGGGGAGGGGGGGGGGGGGTTGAGTCGTGCTTGCCGGAGGCCTTGCTTTTTCTCCTCAAAGCTGCTTAAAAAAAATACAAACTTGTTTTCAACTACTTTGATAATGTTTACATTATTATGCGTGCATTTCTTTCTTGTTCCTCCATGTGCTGACATTTTTGTGATGGTTGTTGATGTGCTCTGCAATTCCACGTTTTGTTTTCTTTTTCTCTTACTGTCGATTATTATTGTTAATATTATCTCTATTTTTATTATTATTATTGTTGTTGCTATTTTATCATTATTGTTTATATTATTATTATTACTACTATTGTTATTATCATGATTATTATCTTGACAAGCGTATTTGGATATGTACATAAGACATTTGGGCTTTTTTGTTCGTGTCATTCCCATCAGGTTTTCTGTATCGAGTGGGTGTGTCGACTGTCATCTTTTGTAGGTAGATACACTGCCACGGTTTTTTCCCCGTTATTTCTTTCCCTCCCCCATGAGAAATGAGGCTGCTTCTGTGTGTGTATGTGTTAACGTGTTTGTGCATCTGATCGCATTTGTGTTGAGTGATTTTCGGTGTTTGAGTGTATAAGTTTTGATGTGAGTGTACGCGCTATGTATTCGATATGTGCATATGTGAGGCAGCGTGGTGGAATCAGGCTCTCGTCAAAATAATCAAAGTGAAGAAACTTGCATTTTTCCTCAGGTTTATAAATTTTCATCAAATTTTTGTTTTTTGGCTCAACACCTTTCATGCCTATTAAAAAACTCATTTCTGTGGAAATTTTTGTGAAAAACGTTGATTAAAGGCACAAAAAATGTAAATTTTCAGTTACCACGAACTCTTAAGCTTAGGAAATAACTAATCTTTGGCGCCATTTTCTTACTAATTTTACCTCTGAAAACAGGTGACCTCCATCTCCTTCTTTTGCAAATATCTTGACTTGTATTCAAGATAAATGGATATTTTTTCCATTAAAATGAAGGCAATTGAACAAGCTTTAAGATGATACCAATAACTCTACATGCCCAAAAATTGACGAGAGTCTGATTCCATCACGCTGCCTCACATATAATTATATTTATGTATGTACGTTAGTATTGTGTTGAACTGGATTTGGATGAAATAAGAGTACGAATTTGTGTTTGTATGTGTGTTCGTGTGAGTGTAAATGTTCGATAGAGAACTTTTGCATCTGTCGGCTTCCTTTGTCTCAGTTTGCTCAAGCCCAAGACTCGCTGCATGTGCGCAGGTGGGAGTGGGTTCTTGGTTAGACCACTGGTTATCTCCCTGTGACCTTTTGTGTAAATGTGTATGCTTTTTGTAGTCTCTAGCTGTTTGTTTATGAGTGTGTGTGTGTAAGTGTGTGCCTGTGCATGTGTCAGTAAATTGAATAGAATGTCTGTCTATCTGAGAATGCATGTACGTTCTGGGTGGTTGGTGGGTGCTTTGGTGTGGTTTGCTCCTTCTTTCCTATCAAACATCTATTTTTTCCTGATCTCTCCTCCTTTTTTGTGTTTGTTACACTCTTGTAACAGCTCTAATCTTCGGCCCTTATATGACCTTATTGTGTTGCAAGTGCCGTAAAACTCTTACTACAACTAAAGCATGTACGCTGTTGATTCATGGGTGTACTTGTATTTGTGTGATTAGCAGTAGGCCAATGGGGCAGCTAGGGGGATTATACAAAATAAATGGCTACCCATTGTTAGAATTCACGCGGCCCACCCCTGTAGGTATGTGTTCATGAGTGTGTATGTGTCTGTCTGTGCACATATCTGCGTATGTGTGTGTGTCAGTATGTGTGTTTCTGAGTATGTGAATGTGTGTATGTACCTGTTTGTTCATGTGTGCATATCTTTGCCCAGTGATATGGTTGTTTTTTTTTTGGGAGGGGGGGTTCGCGTTTCCTGGATCATGGCAGTTCCTGTCTTCAACGATACTGTCTGTCGCCCTTCCTGTGGGTGTGTGGTGCATGCCTGTGCATTGCTGTGTGCTCATTGTGGCTCGTTATTGCACAATGAAGAATGTGTTCACATACCTACATGCATGCTCATGTTTGTGTGTTTGTATGTGAGCACGAGTGTGTATACCAGTGTGTTTCAGTGGACTCGGTCATCATCTTTCTCATCTGTAGTCTCCCATCTGTGAAGATTCAGAAATGTATGGTTAATAAAATTGAGGAGTCTGGGGGAAGGCCGATGTGCTTCATCACGAGGGTCAGGCTGTGTGTGATGTCTTTGTCGTACTTGACGTGCTGGATAGATGGTTCGTGGCACTGGGCAGCAGTAGCAACGTCCACTTGCACTGCCACCACCATGCCTAAGTTGGCAACAGCAGCAGTTCCCATGACAACAACAACC